ATGTACATGTAGTTAGGTAGATACATGTATACATGATAAGATGAACATTAACTGATGACCATTAATAGTAATACATGTACATGTACCATACTTTGCTGCCCAAGCAAAAGGCATCCTGTACTGTCCCAGTCTCTCCCTCACGCTGGTAACCTGTTTGGAGAACTTGTCAACCATCTAACAGAGAAACAGTTAAGAAGCATCATATTATGTGTACACGTATATACATGTACATGTATATGTACATATACATGTACACTATAGGTATATATATATGTACTGGCTGTACCTTTAGACTATCAGTTGGTTTCATGTAAGGTTCGGTACATGTTGATATTCCTCCTTGAAGAACCTTCTCAATCCTGGCAACAATGAACACCTCAGGGTGGGGGAATGTAACTGAGAATAAGGCCTGCATTGGAATAAAATAAATAAAGTTTATATGTACTTGTATACATATATATAATGATATGAAAGGATGAAAGTCATGGCTGAGAATAACAGGAAAGAGAGAGAGAGTGTGTGTGTGTACTTGGTTGGTAGTTCTTGCTAGTTTGTTGATATCAGTATCATCAGTTGATTCAGTATCATCTCTGATCAATGATTCTGATTCGTTGAAATCAATGTGGAAATCCTCTGATATCTTCATTCCTTTAGCAGCATCAAATAATGAGAGCCTCACATAAAATGGCTCCAACTGATAAAGAAATATAACTCACATACATGTACATGTACATGTACATTGTAGCTAACAAAATTTTGTGGTGAATTGCTAAAAATTTAACGATTGGCTGGTAATTTTTGAGGCAAATTTGCTACACAAAATTCATAAAATAGCCAAAATTCTTTTCAAAAAAACAACAATAATAACACAACAATTATTCACCAGCTGCTTCTTCCCGTGTCTGCTCAGTGTCAGTTTGAGAGAGAGTTCCTTACATATGACAGTGACCTGATGATGCAACACCTCCTTATATGGTAAGGGTAGAGATACTGTATCATCCAATGGAGCTTGATGCTATGAAAATAAATAAAAAATATAAAAATAATCAAATAAATAAGCATTTTATTAATGTTTTAATTTGGTGCAGTTTTATCTTATAAAGTGGTTGGTAATTTCAGATAGAAAATAAAATGTCATTTAAAGTCAATCAAAGGAACTATTACTAGATTGCCTGCAATAGAATAGAACTGCCTGGTTCATTAGTGTGGGGGCGTTAAACAAACACAATGGGATGAGGTTTAAGCATTAAATGAAAAAACAACAAAAATGCATTACATGAGAGAATGTAGTTAGAATACAGGGGACCCCCCCTGCCTAGAATTATTATTGTACATGTACAGACAAGATTAAGTAGGATTCTAGAGAAAATTCATAAAAAAGTAATTGAAAAAAGGGCAAGTAGGATTCTGTACATAACGTACATACCAGTAGTTCAGGGTATAACAGAAATAAGTCGTTCCTGTTCTTATTTCTGTCCTCTCTCTCTTTCTTGTCGTCCCAGTGAAGCAGCTCTGGTCTGTGGAGTGTCTTCTTAGTCGTGTCTCTAAGAGTGTCCTTAGCGTAATATGACCTGTACTTAGCAGCTACTGATCC